GTGCCAGGGTCCGGGATGGCCCCAGCGCCAGTGCCCAGATTAGCTGTTCCCGCCCGGCCGGATCCTGCTGTCCCTGGGCCACCGCCAGTCCCTGTCCCCTCCCTGTGCCCGTCCCTGTCCCCATCCCCTTCCTCCCCATGAGCCGCCCGTCCCCGCCACCTTTGCCCATCTCCAGCTCCAGCACAGCCAGGATTCAGGATCTTTAACCCACCCCCATCCCTCTCCCCAGTCTCATAAACAGGGTCCCATCCTGCTCCTTAGCCCAGGGTGCTGGGAGTACTGGGAGCTGGCAGGGTTGGTGGTGCTGGCTCCTGCCAGGGGATGGGCTGAGGTCCAGCACGCTCAGCTCACTGGTGATGGAGGCATCAGGGAGAGCTCCGATGGGCTCCATCCCCAGCCCAGTCCCCAGCCCATTCCCAGCCCCATCCGCTTCCCATTCCCGTCCCATCCCGTGGGACACTCAGGGGCAGAGGTGGTGCTGGGGCAGCACATGGGGGGGGGTGCTGGCGAGGCCAGCCGCATCTCGGGGGGGCAAAAGCTTCAGGATGCAGGGACTGGAGCCAGGATTCCTGGATCCTGTCTCCCCCCCCCCGGTTCAGGGAGGGCAGAAGAGCTTTATCGCTCAGCACAGGGCCGGATCCGGCAGCATCAGCGCCCAGCCGCAGCCCCTGGCCCTGGGGCACTGGCGCTAACCTGGTTATCCACGATGGATGGCCGCCATCACCTCCGCACCGGGCAGGGCCATCGCTCACCGCGGCCCCCCCAGCCCGGCCGGGGATATAAAGCGGGTTTGGGGCCGGGCGGGCTCCGCGCCGCAGCCCCTCGCCATGAGCAGCCTGGCCGCCCTCCGGGAGGGCTACGAGCGCTTCGACCCCCGCGCCTACCTGCAGAACAACTACCTGCCCCCCCGGGCCGACTTCTCCTCCGAGGAGTTCGTGGTGCCCTGGAAGCTGCGATGCCTGGCCGAGACCTTCGCCAGCGGTGAGGGGTGCCGGGAAGCCCCCCTGCCTCGCAGCGGGGTGGGGAAACTGAGGCACGGGGTGGGAGAGCACCTCAGCACCCACCCTGCCCGCTCCCAGCTCCCTCCCTGGGTGGGACCCCTTGGTTGGTCCTGTCCCCCCGCCGGTGCCCGGCTCGGTGTGGGACCCCCTCCATGTCCTGGCCCCCCCCAGGTGAGATCCGCGGGCGCACGCTGATCGACGTGGGCTCGGGCCCCACCATCTACCAGCTGCTGAGCGCCTGCGACCACTTCGAGGAGATCGTGGCCACCGATTACCTGGCGGTGAACCGGGAGGAGCTGGGGCGCTGGGCACGGGGGGAGCCCGGCACCTTCGACTGGAGCCCCTTCATCCGGCACGTCTGCAAGATCGAGGGACGCGGGTAGGGCTGCGCCGGGCGGGGACCTGGGCGGTGGGGGACCTGGCACCGGGGGGGATCCCTGCAGGATCACAGCTGCTTGGCCCGTGGGATCACAGCCCCACATCCCTGCGGATGCTGGGCTGGTCCCTAAAGCATTGTGTCCCCAAATCCCATGGGATCACAGCCCCACATCCCCGCAGGCACCGGGCTGATCGCCACAAGATCATGTCCCCAAATCCCATGGGATCACAGCCCCATATCTCTGTAGACACTGGGCTGGTCCCTGTAGGGTTGTGTCCCCGAGTCCCCATGGGATCACCTCCCCATGTCCCCACAGGTGCTGGGCTGGTCCCTGTAGGATCCTGTCCCCAAATGCCACGGGATCAGAGCCCCACGTCCCTGGAGATGCTGGGCTGGTCCCTGCAGGAGCCCAGCCCTGCGTCCCTGTGCATGTTGTGTTGATCCCTGCAGGATCCCATCCCCACATCCCTGTGGATGCTGGCCTGATCCCTGCAGGATCCCATCCCCGCAGGATCCCATCCCCACAGGATCCCACCCCCACACCCCTGTGGGTGCGGGGCTGATCCCTGCAGGATCCCATCCCCACATCCTTGTGGGTGCCAGCCTGATCCCCAGGGGATCCCACCCTCCCCCTCCCCAGGGGATCCCATCCCCGCTGACGCCCACCTCCCCGCAGGGAGCCCTGGCAGGAGAAGGAGCGCCGGCTGCGGGGCCGGCT